ACTACTTGGGCTGAGCCCAACGAAATGCACTTCCTCAAATCCCTTCTCTAGCCTTCTTCTATCTTTACCCAACGCCTTTTTTGTCAGTGCTCCTGTGGAGCTGCATCAGCTTGCCACAGCAAATGTCCTCATCTCTGCTTTAGCTCTCCTCCAGGGATCTTGCTCCATCATTATCATTTTTTTTCTTTGTCACTGTCTCTTCCCTTGCTGACCATTGCCCTTTATTGACAAATAAAATAAAGCCTTCCTTATATACAACACCTCTACTTATCCACTTTCCAATCTCTCAAGGAGATCTAAGATTCACAGAGTCTTAGAATTCCAGAATATTAATGCTGGAAAATAACTTGTGGAATTTTATTCAAACTAAATCCTTTTGTAAAATAAAGGAAAAATCCCATGTCCCTTTGTAGTCTTTCCTCTATGCCCATAATTTTGAAAAATCCATTCATCCAAAGGTAAGAAATGACTCTTTTTTTTTTTTCTTTAGACAGGACCTCACTCTGTTACCCAGACTGGAGTTCAGAGGCATGATCATGGCTCACTGCAGCCTCAACCACTCACGTTCAGGCGATTCTTCTACCCCAGCCTTCTGAGTGAGCTGCCACTACAGGCACCCAACACCACATCCAGGGATTTTTTTTCTATTTTTTGTAGAGACAGGGTCTTATCATGCTGCCCAAGCTAGTCTTAAATGACTTAAATTTTTCTTAGTCTTTATCTTTCCTGGCTTTGCTATTTTTGGTAGTTGTTTCTTCTCAGATAAATTATTTCTTCCCAATCACCCAGACCCATAAAATTGTTCTAACACATAGTCATCGGGATGATCCCAGGCCCACATAGCTGTCACCAAACTTCCCAGCAAGTGCTTGACCCAAATTCTTAGAACCATCCTTGTCTCCCTCCTTCCTTTCATCTTTAATTTAAAAAGTTTGAAAATAATATGAAATCACATCCATTCTATTCCTTCTTTTCTGCTGTCCTTTATAACTTCCATTTTCTCTTTATAGATTATTCTAATAGGGTTCTAAACAGGGTCCTCACAGGCATTTTCTGTCCTCCTCAGTTCACCTCATATATTTGGACCTCATTAATTTTCTTCAAGTGAAACTCTGATATGATCATTTTACCCTTAACACCATATTTAAGCTTATAGCTCCAATCCACAAGGAGGCTGCCAACTAAGTAAACTACAATTCCTAGCATTCAACGTTCTTCTTAATCTGTTCCCAATTTTTATTACAGATTATTACTCACTAGTCTCCTTTTTGAATCTCAAATTGTAGTCAGAATGAAGGACTGGAAGAGCTGTAAATGTTTTCCACATACCCTGCCTCTATACCATGCTGCTTTCTGTTGTATCTTTCTCTAGCCTCTGTTTCTTCCTTCCTTCCTTCCTTCCTTCCTTCCTTCCTTCCTTCCTTCCTTCACCACCATTTCTGCTAACCAAAGCACTCATGAGGTTTGCATGGCGAACCTCAAGGAACATCTCATTCATGCTGCCCATCCTGATCACACAAACAGAAGAGAGTTTTCTCTTTGGCAAATCACAGCACTCTTTGTTCCTGTTTGATATCACCTAGGAATCTGAAAGATACTTGGGTGTTTGCATTATTCCTTCCCAGAAAGCAAAATTGTTGAGGCTCAGAGCTGTTTGATTTTGAATTTTTCAGAACTCTTAGTATAATGCCTTGTGTTTCAGTGCTCAGCTATATGTTTAGCTGCTGTCCTATAGGTTCTAGGAAATTCAACAGGTCCAAGACTGAACTCTTTCCTCACACTCTCATATGATCCCTCATTAAACGTCTTTTCACAAAATTCTCTAGACCAGGCTAATGGTTTTACCAGTGACGCAGTAATCAAATCTGGAAGTCTGGAAATCTTAAATTTCTCACCTTTCAACATAATTCTTATTGATCATTCACATTTGTAAACAAGTCTTGTTATTCTCATCTAAAGTCCTTATAAATTTCTCACTTCTTTCCATCTCACTCTCTGTCTGAGATCAATCCTCAACATTTCTTACTCTTACCTGGATTATTGTCATAGTCTGGTGACCACATTTGACTTCTTTGTTACCTGTCCTCCAGGCTGCTATTAGGATGATTTCTCTAAATAGCAAAACAGACCGTTTAATCCATCTTCTTTAAATTTTCCCAGACTTCTTATAACCTACAAAGAAACACCTTAACACTGTGTATGGTTTGCAAAGCTCTTCGCCATCTGGCTTCTGCCTTCCTTTCCAGCTTTGTTTTACACTACCAGTTTACATACATCATGCAAACATAAAAAATCTTGGAATGCCATTATCCCTTGTTGCTTAAGTAAATCCTGCTCATTCTTCAAGGCTCAACTCAGTCCACTTGCTAGTACATATCATAAAGCATTAGGAGTCCTTTCTCTGTCAAATCACATAATAACTGTAAGTTTATTTGTCTGTTTTCACCAAAAGAATGAGAACTCCTGCAAAACTGGGAGATTGCCAAATTTTGATTCATTTCATAGAGGCTAATAAAATGTCTGGAATATAATATACTATTTGTAGAATTTTATAAGTATGAATTAATTAATTCTAACCATACATTTATTCAGTTCTGATTCATATTAAACTATATTTATAAAACCCCTTTCATAAGTTCAGAAACTAATAACTAAATAACATATTTTTAGGCATACATATTTGAGTTAAAAGGAAATTACAAACACAAATGTCAAGATAATTCTGTGAGAGGTACAATAGAGAAGCAAAACCAGGCAAATGTTAGTTACTATTCATCTAGTTCTTTGTCCAGGTGGTAAGTTCACTAATGTTCATTCTATGGCTAATTATGTTTTTTAAAATATTGCCATTCATGGGTGAACAATGATAGCATATTATGAATCAAGATGTGGGATTAATCTAATTATCTGGGGAGTTTGGAAATCATATTCAGCATCAGATTTATTTGGTTCTAACTGACAAAACTACTGAACTCATTATTTTATTAGATTAATAATAATCTTACTTTTCTAAAAAGTGATGTTTTATAGATCCATGTACCTTTTTACTACATTCTTTTTGATCTGAAAACAATTAGAAAAATAGGATAGACCACTACAGGTATGAACATAACCAAATATATCTGCTCTAATATTCACATGCATATCTATTTTGTGATGTAGGCTCCACAAAATAGATATCTTCTCTAAGGAAAAAGCAACTGCACTGGAAAGAATAACCACAATTGAGTATTTTCCTGGATATCCTGAAGATACACAGGTATTCAGTCATGAGGAATTTACTGATCAACCACCATATTTCAGGATACTGGATGCTGAGGACACAGAGATAAACAAAATATTGTTTCTGCCAACAAAGAGCCTACAGAAGCAAGAGGCTCTTCTTTGTATCACATTTATACCTTGCAAAATTGACTTAACAACTTGAGAGACTGCAATTCAGAAATAACTGTCTTTAATCTAGTTCAAAGAAAATTCTTAAAAAGTTTGTGAAATATGTCTTTATATCAGTTTAATAGAATGTCTTATTTATATTCAGAAGAGAAAACGTGTTTTTTTCATTTTCTACCACAGAATTTGATATTTCATAAGCTATAGACTAATTTCCAGAAAATGAAAAGTAATTGCAATAATAGCAGTTAGATATTTACATTACTTTTTAAAGTCTTATTGTTCAACAGTTTGTAAGGGGGCATTGTGTAATTTTATTTTAAATCAAGTAATAAATTTGGTTCACTTTATAATGATTTTATGATTGTCTAATATGAAACTAAAATAGTAAGTTCTGACTTCTTATTCTTTTCAGAATTTTATAATAAAGATTTATAGACCTTCTTTTTGAGATATGTACACTATTCATTCACTAATTATTGATTATATTTTCTATAAGAAACAAAAAGTTATGCAAAATTTCCATCAGATAACAGTGAAAAGAACACATGCACTTTTGGAAAGCAAATTCAATTCACATTTTCTTATGGTAAGTAAGGAAATTGATGGATGCTGTGACAATGTAGAAAGGTGATAGCTTTAAAATGATCTGATTCTTTTTGCTTTCATTTCAGTAGTATTTAGCATATATTTTACAATTACCATGTGATTATCATGTGACATGCTGTAGAGGGGGAAATTCGTGTTTAATGCATGAAAAAACTACATATGTATAACATTACTCTTAAAAGTGTCATGTGTAGTCTAAGTTATCTAAGTCATCAAAACTTTATAGAAGAAATGAAAATTTTAAAAAGGAAAGAAAGTAATGATAGGTTTGCTGTAAGGATAAGCTTTGTGATTTTAGTGATTTATCATAATGGAAAGGTAGTGAGCAAAGCAGAGGAAAATGAAAGTTTTAGCAGAAAGTACTTAGCATAAAACTTCAAAGAGGCTTTCCATAATGTCTGTGATCCTGGTTATAAAGAGAAAAGAAAAGAAAATATCTATCCACTTAAATCTAAAACAAATGGTCATTTATATGGCACAAGTGTCTTTTGTCCAGGCAGGAGGATCAAACCTTAGAAAAGAAAGAAGATAACTATTCCTTCTTTAGGACGCAAAACAAACTAGATTGCATGGTTACATTTTATAGTGTTAGCTACAGAATTTTAAGCTTCATTATTCTAGATTTTCTACATGTTCAGTTTTGTGAATTGAGCAGGCCATATCTATACGCATCCTTATTTACATTCATGTATTTGTTTATATTCCCAACCATAGGGCATCACTGATTATTAAAACACTGGAAGGTAAGAAAAGATAGTTTTGTTTTTCTTCAATATCTTGATGGGTTTTAGCCACAAAAATTGACTTGTAATGAAATGATTTATAAGAAGTTGAATATTATTTTAAACATGAAATGCTAATTTTATGCTTATTTTTTCAAAGCATGTTATCTCTAGTAACTCTTTTGATCATCTCAACAATGCAATGATGGTGCTTCGTTACATTACAAATAAAAGCACAAAGACAAAATTATTAAATGACTAATAGGAATCCAAATGTGTCAAACCTCTTCTATCATATTTTCTGGCACTAATTCTAAATCATTTTCTAGAAATTATCTATGCTGGTTTATACAATCTTTGAATCATTAGGCCCAAAAAGCCTGTCATTACTGTGGAAGCCTAGTTCTAGACACAACCTCTTGCCTTCAAATAATACATTTTGGAAAGCACCAAGTAACTTCTCTCATTACTATCAGGGAGAATTCAGATGACCATTAAGACTTTCATTGCACTCTTTTACCAAAGACCCGCCAACATGGGCCGCGTTCGCACCAAAACCGTGAAGAAGGCGGCCCGGGTCATCATAGAAAAGTACTACACGCGCCTGGGCGACAACTTCCACACGAACAAGCGCGTGTGCGAGGAGATCGCCATTATCCCCAGCAAGAAGCTCCACAGCAAGATAGCAGGCCATGTCATGCATCTGATGAAGCGGATTCAGAGAGGCCCAGTAGGAGGTATCTCCATCAAGCTGCAGGAGGAGGAGAGAGAAAGGAGAGACAATTATGTTCCTGAGGTCTCAGCCCTGGATCAGGAGATAATTGAAGTTGATCCTGACACTAAGGAAATGCTGAAGCTTTTGGACTTCAGCAGTCTTTCCAACCTGCAGGTCACTCAGCCTACAGTTGGGATGAATTTCAAAATGCCTCGGGGACCTGTTTGAATTTTTTCTGCAATACTCTATTATTTTCAGTAAATCTGGGACAACAACAGCAACAACAAAAAAAGATTTTCATTGCTAATTTGGGGCCTATGTATTAGCAGGTCACCTCTATATTCTATATATCTCCATGTACCATTTCAGATCAACCTTTTAGTATTTGGGTTCTCCCTCATCCTAGTATCAATCAATCACACAATTATAAAATTACATAGACTGTGTATATTGGTTACTAAAAGATGGAAGGCGAAATAGACCAAAAGTCATGATGCCTAAAATTTACTTTGAAACTCTTTGGTATAAGCTATGTGACATATTGTGCATATATCTGACTTATATTAAACCAACACCCAAGTACCTATTTAAAAAGCACATGTGAGCAGTGGTCAGTTGGCATGTTAATCACAAATGCACAGTCCTGATACAATCTAGCTGCAGTATGCTATCAGAGAGGGTTATACTTGAGAAGTGACTAACAGAGCTCTTCTGAAATTTTTGTCTTGGATCAATAACCAATATTTTGCTAATAGGTTACTGGATACCTAAAATGGCTTTTTGTTGGTGAAACTGGTAACATACCTTGCTGACTTGAGTAATGAAAAGCCTTTTTTTCTTGATAAAATTTGAGGTCATCAAGACATGGATTGCTTAAATTAACTTTAGAACTTTACTACTCAAGTAAAGTTGAGGTCCAAGATCCAACAGCATCAGCTGTTGAGTCCGAGGTCCAACAGCATCAGCATCAACTGGGAGTTTGTCAGAAAGGCAAAATCCCAGGCTCCCCTTTGGCCTTACTGTATCAGAATCTCCATTTTAACAAAATCCCCAGGTAATTCACGTACGCTAGTTTAAAAGCATTCTAACTCTAGCAAGACCTGTGACTTACAGCCTTAAGAATAATGCTTGAGGCTTAACCTTAAGGGATCTATCCAATCATATCTTTGAATGCCGTTGGTCAAAAGGTGACCTAATGCTAGGGCTGGGCATGGTAGTGCATCTCTGTAATCTTAGGAACTCCAGAGCTGAGGTGGAAGGATTACTTGAAGTCAGGAGTTCAAGGCAACAGTGTGCTATGATCTGGCCTGTGAATAGCCACTCCACTCCAGCTGGGCAACAGGTGAGACCCCAACTCTAAATTTAAAAAAAAAAAAAGACATAATATTGCTCTGGAATTTTGCATTTGCTTTGAATAAACCTTTTATTCAAAGTGCTGATCTGAATACATATCAGGGCAAAGAGTTTTGATTCATTGAACTTGTTATAAGTTGATTGTTTATCTAAGATAGTATCAATTTAAGCCCATTGTCCCAGTGTAATTATACCCTAATTAACTCTCAAAGGTTTCTGGCTTTAGATAATAAACTATATGATCAGTCTTTGAACAAGTCATATGCAGTTTTACTTTCATATGTTTGTTTGTTGATAATAGACCCCCACACTGACAGTTTTTACAGAGATGAGATGGGAAACTTTTCCCTTTGGGAACCTCTAGCATCTATGATGTCTCAAGGTTACCAGCTTATTCTGCCATCCTGATATGTCATCTAATCTTTAAAAAATTATTATATAATGATGAAATTGGTATTGATAATTGATGGAAGAAATCAAATATATTTTCAAACCCACAATCTGTGGCCCATCACCTCTAAGTCTTAGCTTCTCCACAAGATTTTTTTGTAATTTAATAAAGAAGAGGCTAGAAGATGCTCCAGTTCTAAAAATCAAAGTATTGTTGATGTGGAAGTGAATCAAAACTAAATTTTGAAGTGCCTTGATTCAAAAACTTAATCCAAAAAATATCTTTATTTTAAAAAATCAAAGTAACTTGTTCTTTTTCCTGTTACATCTATGGTAGTGTTTAATCAGTCATCAAAATCAAACATACTTTAGCCAATATTAAATCTTAATCAACATTTTGAATCCCTATCACAATTTTTTTTGCAATTAATAGTTACATTGATGGAATTTTAATGTTTCCTAAATGCCAAAAATTCAACTATATTATCTACACCAAAATGTGTTAGTAGCAGTACGATTCAAGGTCATCCTTTAGTTCCAAGTTACTGTTTTCTGAAAGTAAATAAAAAGATTTAGAGCTCTCATTTGAATAGATAGTAGATCTGTGGTACGGTTTTGGCAATGATGTGTTTTCTTGGTACATCATTGTTACCATAATGGCTAAGGATCTTATGAACATAACATTTGTGGTAAGTAGATTACAATTGAAAATGAAAAGATGCATTTTCAAGATCATAAATAAAGCTAAATACCCTCTTATTCAAGGGAAGGAATATCTAAAACCTGACCAATTGTACAAGGATCCCAATTAACTAAGACATTTCTAACTAGTATGCAGACCAACGTTTGATTACCCTACAATTATGGAAGCAGATTGCTGTAGATTTACTATCTCAGAAAATGCCCCTTTTATTTTCAATGGGTTTTAATTATTCTTATATTAAATGTGGCAGATCAACTAAAATATTAAGAAATAACCCAGAAATGTATTTATCAGATAAATTTGCCAAGAAAAAATGATAAATTGATTAAAATATTGTATCCATTGGTCTCAAATCTTTGTTAAAAAGATCATATTTTCTGAGAATGTTGATAATCAAGGAGGAAAGCCCACAATACACCCAGTTACAATGTTGCAACTGAATGAAATGCAAAAGAACATTGATTTCACATTTTAACTCATGGCATACTCATCACTGAATGATTCTGTGTTAGTTTCTACGGGAAATTTATAAAGCACTGCTTTCAGTTGTTTGACAGGGTACCAATATATGTTTATAATTGATGAAATATGGACATGAAATATCATAAAAGAAATCCATCTAGGAAATTCAGCATTCATATTAAAACCTAGACAAAAAGGAATATGGACAATGAATAATTGAAAAATTTATAATCAACAAACCACATTTCTTTGCTTTCCCAGCAATTAATACAGAGTGCAAGAGTTCATGAGTCTACAAACTGAATTACCACTCTCAATTTAATTTAATTCTCACCACTCTCAATTTAACTACCGTGTTGTGTGTTAAAGCTTAAGTGCTAGTATTGCCTTCCAACTCCCAAATACTTAAGTGTAAATTATTTTACCTATCAATTTAGCAAAATGAAAATAATGGACATCAACAACTCATACTTGGTATCCACATCAAATAGATGCCATAGAAAAAGCAATACATCAAGTGTTTGGACATGTCACTGAAGTCTCACCTCTATTTGATTATTCTTATTCTATTCTTAAATAGTGAGAGTCCAGTATCTAACTATGCTTCTATCCCAGCTCAAGTATTTACTGGTCATGTGACTTGGGTAAGTTACTCCCCCTCCCTTTGCATCAGATTGCTCATCTGTAATAAGGGCATAATTTTTAAGTGTGTTTTGAATATAAAACATACTAATTCATTTATAGGGATTTAAAGCAATTCTTGGCAAAAACAACTACTGAATAAATATTATGAGTGGTTCTTTGTAATGTAATTTGTTCTACGAAGATTTTAAGACAAGAAATTTTACAAGTTCTGAACTGTGTCTCCTTACGCTTAAATTCTCACTTAAGTTGGTTGATTTCCCTTGAACTTCTAAGAATGTGCACATTCCTTTAAACTTCTAAAAAGATATGAATAACAAGGTAGTCATCTCCAAAGATTGTATCTTGCTCAATACTGCATTGCTGAGGTAGTCATATCATAAAGTTTTTTATCTAAACTTGTATTTTCCAAAAAGAATTATATGTACCTACAAGGAAATTCCAAGAAAATGTATGAAGTCACAGAATAATTGCAACAAATCTATGTGAAAGTTTAATTATAGAAAAATACTTGGAATGTTTTTTTCTAAAAAACCCCAATTGATTACATGATTTAAACACACACGGCTATGAAGTAGAAAGCACAAGTCACTATATATATTTTTAAAGCGTGATAGGCTCCTTCCATAGAAAAATTTGAGACTCATTGCTCAAAACTATTGAGAAGAGTGGCTATTTTAACATTTATATCTCTGTGATTTGTGCTAGTAAACATAGTCCGTGGGTATTACCACTGACGTGGCTGTTGACTTGATTTCAGTCAACTCTACCACTAAAGGCTAGGAAATTTCAGCTGTCATTCTTAACAAACTGCTTCTTTTATTGAGAGGTTCTTTTCTAGGGTTGTCCTTATGCTAGCTGAGACATACCAATTTTAACATAACTTAAGACTCAAACTCACAGGATTGTTTTGTAAAGCAGTCTAAAAGTCACATATATCAGTTTTATTTTTGTGATGAAATTACTACTAACACCATGTACTTTGGAAAGCTCACAGTGGTTTGAACCAAGAGAAAAACATTGTTTTTGTCACCACACTAAAAGCAAAAGTACTTTAAAAAAAACTTCAAAACAAAAAGTCTTACATTAAGTTTATCTTAGAAACTAGTCATGAGTTGTCTGGCAGTGTGAAATTCTGAACTAACACAGATGAACTCTTTCCTACTTCAATACATTAAAATTTTGTATAAAAATAATCATATTAAAATTTTAAAAATACGTACTAGATTTTAAAAGAAAGGGAAATACCAGGTTCTACAGTTATGGAGATAGATAAATCAAACCTAGAGTGGTAAGAAGTAGGAGCACATGAGAATTTCAACATACTTGGACATTCACGAGTCTGATGGGAAATCCTATTTTTACATGGATATGGGAGATGAGAAACATGACCACACCATTACAAGGAGAGCATCTTTAATGAAGCCTGAAAGCATATTTTGTCCTTGAAAAGAGAATACAATTGTTGACTCTGGTCTAGGGAAGGATCATAAAAAGCAAAATAAAGGAAAACAAAAATCAGAAAACCAAAAATTTTAAGAAGTATGAGTATGAAGTCTGAATTTATATTGTTTTATTTTAATTTTATTATTCTTGTATAGTTGTCCTTTCTTGTATTGGCATTGGTTAAAATCCCTTTTATCTAAAATTGTTAAGTCTATATATTCCTAAAATACTGTTAACATAATTTTATATTTTACTTCACATCATGTTATTCCCCAACAGAAAAAT